ACACACACACACACACACACACAAAGAGTACAGGAAATTGCATCTACCTGGGTAAATATGAATTTCTTATTTGAATTCCTCTTTTTTTGTTTTTGTTTTGTTTTTAATTGTGGTTGTTGTTTTGAGACAGAGTCTCACTATGTGGCCTGAGCTGGCCTAGGACTCCCAGCAATCCTCCTGCCTCAGCCTCCCAGGTGCTGGGATTATAGGTATGTGCCACCACGCCTGGTTTGAATCTGTTTTAAAAGATAACTAACAGTTTAAACAAAAATAACAACATCACAGTGTGGGTTTTATTTCACATATATAAATGAACTATATGAAACAATACCATAAAGGCTAGAAGGGAAGAAGAGGAAATATACATTAGTAAGGTTCTTATACTATATAGGGTATAATACTACCGACCAAAGACTGTAAGTTAAAGACGTATATCATGACCCTAAAACAACTGCTAAAAATAACACAATACTACAGTATACCTAACAAGTAAAAAAAAACAACGGAAAATCTGAGAAAACAACTGGCACTAGCTTCTCAATCTCTAGCCCCTCCAGTTGTCACACTGATACAGCATGGGCCAGAAAGGCAGGCAAACAAAAACAGGTATTCACCACAAGTCACAGTGTTGGCATAAATTATCTGGTAAGGTCAAAGACCCCAGATACATAAAGTCAATCTTATCAGGCAGGATATTCCAAGGGCTTAAACTAGAACTTACCTCCTGGGAGTCAGTCTAGGGCGACTTCTTTTTTCAGAACTTGCAAGGTTTGAGCATCCCAAGTCAGCTGAGTTAATCCTTTATTGCACAATAAAAGAATAATATGAATGGTATGCTAATACATTCAACAAGTTAGATGAAACAAAAATACCTTGAAAAAAATTAACACAAGTCACTGAAGAGAATATTGGGAGTGGTGCTGCCCACCTGTAATTCCAGCTGCTTGGCATGCTAGGTAAGAGGATGGCAAGGTGGAAGCCAGCCTGGACAACTTAGTGGCCCTGTCTTGTGGTGTGCCTCAGGGGCACAGCACTTGCCTACCATGGAGGAGGCCCTAGGTTCAATCTCCAAAATCTTTTAAAAAAGAAAAGAAACAGAACATATGAATATCACTGTAACTATTAAAGAAACTGAATTTACATTTAAAAACTTTCCCACAAAGGAAACTCCAAACAGTTCTACTGGTAAATTCTATCAAGTATACAAATGTAATGATTATTAATAGTACATAGTCTTGAAGAAAATTGAAAAAGGGAGACCATTTCTCAACTTATTTATTAGAGTATTTACCCTTATCTAAAAAATAAGATAAAAAAGACATTTAACAAAATAAAACCAATGTCCTTTGTAAAAAAAAAAAATGTGTAATGTCTCAAAATTTAGCCGATACAATCCAATAATATACAAAAAGGATAACTGACTGTTAAGTAAAATGTATTGCAGGAATGTAAGACTGGTATAACATTGGCCAATTAATCAATGCAACTGACCAAATTAAGGTTCAGAAAGAGAAAAATTTTATGATTATCTTAACAGACTCAGAAAAAGCATGCAAAAAAACCCATTACCCATTGTGAAAAGGAGGAATACAAAACAATTTCATCAAACCAATAAAGGGCATCACGATAAACCTAAAGTTAATATCATACTCAAAGATAAAAGATTTCACCCTTTTCTCCTAAGATCAGAAACAAACACGACGTTATTTTCACTTCTATTCAATATTGTCCTGGTGTTCTAGCCAATGTGAAAAGCCAAGAAAGAAAATAAATAGCATATTGGAAAGATTGTGTTTACTTACAGACATGATTATCTATGTAGACAATCCTATGAAATCTACCCTCCAAATATGCTGTTACCACTAGTAAGTGTGTTTATCACAGTGGAAGGATACAGGATCAACAAACATAAATTAATTTTATTTCCACATTGTCTTGGTACATTTGGCTGCTATAAAAAAATATTTTAGACTGGGTAATTTGCAAACAACAAAAATGTACCCTTCACAGTTTTGTAGGCTTAGAAATCCAAGACAAAGGTGCCAGCAGATTTGGTGTTTGCTAAGGGTTTGCCTTGTTTCCTACATAGTGCTTTCTTGTTGCATCATCACATAGCAGAAGGGGTTAGCAGACTCCCTTAAACCTGTTTTATAAGGGCACTAAACTATTCACGAGGGTTCCTCACCCCTTGACAGCTAATCACCTCTTAAAGACCCCATCTGTTAATGCCATCACATTAGGGGTTCAGTACCAGCATAAGAATTTTGGAGGGACACCAACAGTCAGATGTAGCTGTTGTAAAACAAAATAATACTAAAATTTTTTAAAACAATACTAGTTGTAATAGCATTGTTATTATCTGCCTAGGGATAAATCTGGCAAGATGTACAAGAGCTATATACTGAAAACCATGAATATTGCTGAAACAGTATCTTAAGGCTTTACAAAAAGAGAATGCCATCCTGGGTTTTATTGATTTACTTTTAATGTTTCTATTTATTAATGAATGAGTTCATAGTTGCAAGTAGAATGAGTAAATATGTTTAAAGTTATTACCATTGTATAAAGTCATTCTAGAAAATCTTAAAATACATTAAATGTAGAAATGTGTCAAGTCAATATTTAACTCCAAGAGGTTTACTCTTTCAATATTTATTGAGGTACTAAGGTACCTGTCAAAAATTGTTTTACTGTGGGTGAATGAAAGATGTAGTCCTAATCATGTGAAGCTACTTAATCTAACTTGGGAATAGAAAATAAATAAATTCAAATAATTAGAAAGTATAATTAGTGCTACAAATGTAGTAATACAGAAATGGGAGGACGCTAGATAGGGTGCTCATAGTCTACAGGTTGCTAAAACCTGAAGCAACAGGAATCAGCCAGACAAGGACAGATCACAGTCTAAAGAACAGCACCTAGGAAAGCCCTCGGTGGGCAAATAGGGGTGAGGGAAGGAGATCTGGCAGGCAGGGGTTTAGGGAGTGTTCAGTAAAAGGAAAAACTGCTTAAGCCAAGAAAGGTAGGCAAAGAGCAAATCATGTAGAATCATGTTGGAACTGTGGTTTCACTCAAAATTGGGATGGGAAGCCATTTTACAATTTTAACTAGGCTACAGGCATGATTAGGTTTGTTTTGTTGTACTAGGAATTAGAGTCAAGGACTTCACACTGAGCTACATCCCTAGCCTATTTTTTGTTTAATCTCAAGACAGGGATCTGGCTAAATTGCCCAGGCTGGACTCAACGTGGGATCCTCCTGCTTCACCCTTCCACACAGCTGGTATTACAGATGTGTGCCACCATCCCCAGCTGATTAGATTTTTATTTTGAAAAGATTTTCTGCTCTGATGGAGAATAATATTATAGTCTGGAGGCAGTATTATAGTCTAAGTTGTCACAGATGTTCCCTTCCCATAAACACATAAAACACTGAATAATACATAATGTTTTTATTTAAATGAGAAAATATATTGCAGAACTTAAAAGAAAGCTAGAGATGTAAAAAGAGGAACCCTATGTAATATAGGGGTCATGAAGATTGAGATTTCTACACATATTTGAAGAGAAAATTTCAAGTTCAGAGGCTGAAAAAAAAATCACAGAAGGATTAGAAAAACTCAGCCTACTGTTCTAGAAAAGTAGTAAGGAAGCCTGCTATCTCTGACTTAAGTAAATCTGACACCTGAGGTTTGTTTGTATGACAGTAATGACACAGTCAGAGACCACCACATAGATAAGGAACAAACTCCTGGACCTTTAAACTGCTATTGATCAAAAGCACAATTTGTGTTTATTTCTGTCAGGAATTTAAAGGTGGTTTTTGCTAAAAACCACTATTTTTCACTCTACAAATGCCCAATAGGTAACTGAAAGTAGAATAAATCTTAACTTCAATTTTTGTAGCCTTTATTACTTTTAAACTTTGGATATAGTACTGCTCATTTAAGAAAAGTTGACAGAACAAAGTTTATTAATTCTAAATTTACATAGCCTATTTGGTCCACCTTGGAGACAGAGAAGCAAAGTGGTCGCACATCCCAGTAATCCCTGCATCTGGGGGGCTGAGGGAGGAGTAAAACAGATTAGGGCATGGCAAAACTGGCTGGGGAAGTAGGTGTGATGTGTTAATTACAAGATCCCAGAACACATGGTGTAGGGAACAGGAAAAGGACTTATTCTGCAGTAAGTCCTAGTCTCCTGTGAGCCACGGCAGCACAAGGAGAATTAACTTATACAGGAAAGGTAGAAAAAAGGAGACTTTGAGAAGAAGCTGAGCTTTGGGCCTGATCAGTGCTGCGCTGGTCGGCAAAGATGGAAATCCTCCAACTTGCCACACCTTTATTCAGTACATCGGGAGAAACAAATATCACAAATGACTCAAAATGTGACAGGTGACTCAGGGAGCAGCAGAAATCCTAGAACAATGAGGAACCATGCAGATGAAGATTTTGTCCCTCCCAGGATGTCTTCAGCTGGTGTAATCTTGTCCTGGAGCATGGCAGCATCACTGCACCATTGAGGTCTTAGCTGTGACTGGAAGCCAAAATGGAGTTATGTTTCGAAATGCCATAGCAGGCCTGTAGGCAGAAGAACTAGGCCTAATCAAATGATTTTCCCCCAAAATTATGTAGAACTGCTCCTGACAACATGGGCAGAAGAGTTCTGAAAGCCTGGCATGTGGACTTCTCAAGAGAACTTCAGGTGGTTTTCAATAGGATGACCTGGACCTGCTGTCAGCCTGAGGTGTGGGATTCCAGTACTACCTCTCAGAACCCATATGTAGAAGTTCTCACAGGTTTCCTCAAGATTTAGATGGCATGAAAGGACACAGATGCCAAGAAGAGCTATCTTCACAACAGCCCACACTGCATCCTCTGTGTACTTTCATCTTCCTTTTTCCTCTTTTACTTGGTCCAAGCTCTCTCTGCAGAACCAGTTTCTCCCTCACTTTTCACTTTTACTGTTTCTAATAAACTTTGTCATTGTTTTATTTGCTTGTTTCGTTCAGTTCTTTGTTGGAGGCAAGTAAAACCTGGAATCCAACTTCAGGAGACGTGAGCACCACAAAACTCACCAATATTTATTTGGTTAGCCATTTTTAGAAGGTGACTAGCTGGTAACCAAAGGACACCAAATTCAAGGTCAGCCTGGACAACTTAGCAAGGCCTTGTCTCAAAATAAAAATAAATAAATAAAAAAGGGGGTTAGGGTATACCTCAGTGAGAAGGCGCTAGGTTCCACCCCTAGTATCAGGGGGAACAAAAAGAGAACACCAAGCAAGATAAGTAAAGCAATTTTAGGGATTCAGGGGGACATTAGATAACCAGCCTTTACAACATGCAGTTCTAGACCCCCTCTTGGAGTGATGACTAGAAGTCTCTAGCCACTCTCCTGAACTGGTAGTCACCTAGGTTCCAGGAAAAACAGAACCTCACAGGACTGGAACAGCCACAATCACTTCATGGGAGCAAAATCAGTTCTTAAACCATGAGGACTCCTCTGGAGCTACAGACACCATCCCAGGACTGAGATAATGGTTGAGCAGACCCTCTGGCCGCCTCAGCTAAGCCTTAAAAGCTGGCCAACTGTTTTTTTGGGTAGGCCAGTCTGATCCTCACTAGTGTGCCCCTCCAGCTACTCAAGCTGGAGTCTTTCCTATTTTCTCTCCTTTCCAATTAATGCTTTCTGTTGCAAATTCGTGCTTTATTTTTTGTTGCAAATTCATGCTTTAGTTTTAATTTCCTTTTCTACTAAAGCAAGGACCCAGGCTAGCCAGTGACAATATCATACACATAGAGGTAGGATCCAAATTTATATTACAAGGTGAAAAAAATCACCTTAAATTTGGTTTAACACAAGCAATATTTTTAGGGACCTTCAAAATCAATCTGTGGAGCACTCTTTCAACCCACGGTATGAGGATTCTCACAGAATCTTCTTTGAAGACTAGAACACTGCAAAGTGGAAATTCTAATTTTCTTAAATTACTTATTAAATTACATTTTATTAAAGATGGATATTTTCTCATTTTTAACTATATCTTGTTCAGCTTGGTTTTCATTCAGGGAAAATCCCAAACCTTTCAAAATACCACTAGTTATTTCTATTACAATTCTTGGTGGCATACACCTATAATCTCAGCATTCTGGGAGGCTGAGCCAAGAGGATCACAACTTCCAGCCCAGTCTGGCCAAATCAGCAAAACCCTGTCTCAAAATAAAACATAAAAAAGGGTTAGGGTTGTACCTCGGTGAGAAAGCCCTGGGTTCAATCCCAGTAACAACAACAACAAAATCATTAATTCTTAAAATTTATCGGGAGTGAATTAAAATATTATGTATAAAATTCAGCAAAGGGCATCTAAGTTGGTTCAACACTGTTATTAAATGAATTAGATGGCTGTTGCCTACGAATGGGAAACTGAATTAACTACTAGACTGCCACTGATTTCCATCTACTACTCTGAAGCTATATTTTACCTAAATGTATTATGTTCAAAAGCTGGATGAAATTATCCTCTAATCCTTCTCAATAGCATTTTACTTTTAAAATGTATTGAAAAATGAGTTCATATTTAAAAATGGGTGTGGCGACCTAAAATTTCAGAAACACTTTTAAGTTTCCAAAATCTGAAGATCAGAGGAGAAATTCCAAACATCCTTTTTCCTCTCTACTTACTTCTCTAAACCTGAAGTACTCACTTCAGTTTTTCGGGTTGAAGTGTTCTTTTCCAGTCTTCTCTTTTATTGCAATGTGTTTAAAACTATTAACACACTATCGTCCAAATCACACATTTGAAAATGTAAGCCAAGATGGGATATTGCGGCTGTTACTCAAAACAGCAAAAAGAGAAGTCTGATCTTTGTATATAATCTGACAATGTTTGCATTTCTTAATCTAAACGCTACTTGAAACGGAAGCCCAAAGGGGTAAATGTTCCAGGCAGAACTAAGAAGGATAAACAGGCTCCTAAAATCTGTTTCTCACTTTTCACCCGTCAAGCGCCCAAGCTTGAGACTGTGTTCCCTGAACGTAAAAACATGGGGAATTTTTCAGGGGAGACCTTCAAGTAGCCCGTTCTAAAAGGCCACACATTAGCAACAATCCTACGTAAAAGGAACATCGAGGAAGCAACTGACTGGGAAAAGAACTCGGAGACAACGTGTCCCTGAGCTCCGGTTACGTGGGGTTGGTTCTGTTTTCATTAGCCACACCCCGGCCTTCTCCCAAGTTCCTAGCCTAAACCTGGTACTTTCTCCTGTCGGTCCGCAGGGCGCTCCCGCCGCAGCCCAGGCCCACTCACACCTCAGGCTCGCACGCCCGGCCCCGCCCCCGAGCCGGCCGCCGCTCCCAGCCGAGGATTTAGGGGCAGCCACGCCCCCTCTTTCTCCACCGACTCGCGCCACTTCTTAACTGCCTGCTGCGCGCAGTTTTTCTCATTGCCTTTTCTCGAGTTTGAAGAGATGAAACAACGAAAATAAAAACCAGGCGAGAGGGCAGACTCAAGTGATGGGAAATGAACATCTGCGAAATCAAGACTTGCTCAGGCGGTTTCTCCGGCACTGACTGAGCAGCCTCGAAGAGACCGGGGCCCTGGAGGGGGTCTTAGGGAGTGCAGAGAGTGACGCGCTGATTGGCTGGTCTACCCGGCCCGGAAAGAACCCGGATGTGCCTGGGCCGCCGAGTTGGCAGTCAGGGCTGAGAGGTTTGGGCACGGTTGGGGTTCGCTCTACCTGGCCAAATGGCGCAGGGTTGGGCAGGCTTCTCTGAGGAGGAGCTGAGGAGGCTAAAACAGAATAAAGGTAACGGGCTATGCGTGCAGGATTTTGATTCCCAGGTCTAAGGAGAAAGGCCTTGTAACTGGAAGGAAAAGGGGGCGTGGAAGAAGCTCTGTTCGGGTCAGGGCCGAAAGATTGATGTTGATCCGATTCGGCCAGGATTGATGGGTCTGCAGAGGTGGACAGATGGAAGGGAGTGAGTCTTGGGAGTGGAAATGGGTGTGCTGCCGAGTTGTCCCTTATAGGATGGATCCAGTCAAAAAGTAAAGGAGGGAAGCTCCGACTGCATGAAAATTTATAGAAGATAGTTATTGGGGGAAAAGGGATCACAAAACTGGATAAACGCCAGGAATGTTGGCGTTTTGCTATAATACACCTGGAGTGTTGCTTTCACTTCTGGTTGCCACATGAATTTTTTCGCAGTTCTTTCCTGCTCTTTATAGTCAGCAAACCGAAAGTCTTTGAGAGGTCAGATGTGAAGCCTTTCCAAATAAAAATTGTGTATGTGTGTGTGTGTGTGTGTGTGTGTTTATACAGCCCTTCTAGCTTCAGGGTCAACTACAATCTTGTGCTTTTCCTCCTAGTTTATGGAATAATTGAATGGTCTTGTGTGTTTTTTTATATTTATTTTGATGAAGAAATTACGTTTCATACCTAATGATATGAACTGTGCTTTGCTTGTCTTTGAAATTTCATTAAGATTTGTGCGGTATACCTGGTTGGGAACACCGCTCTGAGATATTTACAGACACTCTTGGTTCTATGCTTTAAATATTACTTTATTTTGTCATGCTCCTTTTGTTTTTAGGAAATCGGATGGAGTTTGGGTAACAGAATAATCTAGGGCTGAGAAGTGCAAAAGGGAGTAAATAATACAGGGTCAATGTAGATTATTTAGATTGTGGAAATTTTGACTTGAAAGGTCTTTAAAATTATAAAGATTATATGTACTGCAGTGTATGGTTAACTGTCTAGCTTGATGCACTCATTCTTTTGCTGTGTGATTTTGACATCCATTTACATATCTGGATGTACACAATACAGGATGCCTTGTTTCAGATCTTCAAAGTTCCAAGTGTCAGCTTTTGTTTTAGGCATGCAAAGATGAACAAGGCATTGTTTTTGCCATTAAAGAGTTCATAGTTTATAGTTTATAATGAGACAGTCCGTGAAGTAAAGAGAGTAAATGTTGTACAGGCATTACTACTATAGCTACGAGGAACCCCTTTGTGCTGGGGATTGAATGGAGCTTGGGAATTTTTCACAGAGGTTATGTATTGGCAGAGATGAGTTTGCCAGGGCAAAGAAGATTTAAATAATAGTCTAAATTAAACAGTACATTTGCTTTGTTTTGTGAATGGGTCCTGCTATGTATCTTAGACTAGCCTTGAACTCCCAGTCCTCCCTGTATGTGTCCACTTCTAGCAAGACATTGCATTTATTGTGTAAAAGTAAATTCTCTCTGCAATTTGGGATAGGTGGAGGGTAGTCAAGGATCTGTTTAGATAGTGAGATGATAGCGCATGAACTCCACATCATTAGTGTAGGACTACCTTAAGCACAGAGAAAGCATCTTAGATCATTATATATCCATAATCAAACATAGTGATTGGCCTAGAGACCCCATTGCCTCTAAATCTTTTCCTTATTCAGTAACATTTGTGAAAGTCTAAAAATTGGATCTTTAATTTTTAGACCCATCTTAGCTGTTCTCCAACCTTAAAAATACAATTAAATAATTTAGAAGGATGGGATTGGTTACGAGCAACAATGAAAGTAATATACTCTAGAGATACTTAAATGTACATTGGGGAATGTGGTCAAGAGTGTTCTTAACAGACTGTTTATGATATTAAAAAGAAAAAAAAACAACCAAAGTATTCATTAACAGGGGAGTGGATAAATAAGTGCTATAGTCACTGGACTGATGGGAACATATTAACTATAGTTAGATGGATAACATGTATAAATTATATAAATATATACAAAAGGAGCAATTTGCAGGCAGATATGTATACTGTGTGTATATATATATATATGAGAATGATAATAAGAGTGAAATCATGTAAAGTGGGCATATTTTAGGTGTATAGGAAATCCATAAAGACTATCAAAAGAATGAAACACAAAATTCAGGTTGATTGGAAGGCAAGGGAATGTGATCAGGAGAGGCAAGTATGCAGGGAATTTCGGATGCATTGGTGGTATATTGGTAATTATGAAACCAGGTTAAGTCAAGTTAAGCTAAAGTAACAGCCATAAAATATCAATTGTTTAAAAATAAGAATTTTTCACTTGATTATCATGTCTAACTTGGGTTGCCAGGTGACTCTGCCACAGTGACTTCACACTCTTTTGGTGCTGTCATATGGGAGTTCACCATGGCAAGAGGAAAAGATTGAATATTGAACATTAGCAGTTAAATGCTTTCACCAGTAAATGACATGTGTCACTTCTACTTATATTTCATTTAATAAAAGTAAGTCATATGATTTGGGAAGACAAGAAATAGAATTTTCTTGTGTTCCAGAAGAAGAGCAATATGTCTGTCCCTGAACAGCAGTTATACCTAGTACAGTCATGTTTCATTTTTATATCCATACAAATTAGGAGAGAGTGTGTGTGTCCATACATACATTTGATGTACAATCAATCTCATTATGAAACAAATTGGAATTAAAATAATGTAAGACAATGGAATTAAAACAATATGCTGTCAATTTCTAGTTAAAATATTTATTTTTAAAAATTGTCCCCACTTCTTGGCACTGGAGATTGAACCCGTCGTGACTTGTATATGCTAGGCAAGCATGCTATCAGTGAGCTACACCCCAGCCTCAGGACAGTTTTTTTTTTTTTTGCAATACTTACAGTCCCCTATCCTTTCATTGCATTTTTTATTTTGAAACAGGGTTTCACTAAGTTGCCCAGGAAGATTTGAACTTATAGTCCTTTAGCCTCCTCCTCCCGTAGTACTGAGATTACAGACATGCCACCATGCCCGGTTTGTACTTGTGTTATCTTTTGGTAAACAATGTATTTAATTTTAATATATTCAAATTTGTCATTCTTTTTTAATAGCCAACATTTTCTGTGTCTTAAAAAACCAATCCCATACTATAAGGTCTAAAAGATGCTAATCTTTGTTATTTATTGAGAGTCTTTGTTTTTCTATGTTGTGAAGAATGTATCTAATTTTATCTTTTTCATATAGATAACTATTTTCTGCATGTTTGTTTATTAAATAATTCCTCTGCAGTCAGTTTTCCATGCTGTCTCTGTCATATACTAATGCTTTATACAAGTATGCATCCATTTCTGAGTTCTTTTTTCTGTTTCATTGGCCATTTTGCTTATACCTGCACAAATACCTTTGTGACTTAAACCTTTATTATATTCTTGATATCTAAGTAGTTTAGTCCCCTTGCTCTTCTTTAGAAATTTCCTTACTGTTCTTCAGCATTTATCCTATCATATAAAACTTTTAATAATTTTACCAAAGTTCATGGAAAACACAGTAGGAATTTTGATTAGAATTTCATTGAATCCAGTATGGGGAGCTTTGGCATCTTTAAATTATTAACACTAACACCAACATGGTATATGTCACTATTTAAGTCCTAGACCTCTTGAATCTTTCCAGGTGTGGTGGTGCATGTCTGCAATCCCGTTACTCTAGTAGGTTGAGGTAGGAGGATGGCAGCTTGGAGCCCAGCCTAGGCAACTATCGAGATCTTGTATCAAAATAAAAATAACAGGGTCGGGGATGCTCAAGGTCCTGAGTTTGATCCCTGGTACCAAAAAAACAATCAAAATAAAAATAATAAATGGCTGTTATCTCATTGTGAAGGTCCTGGGATCAATTGCCAGGACAACACACACACACCACCACCAAACTCTTATTTGGAGAGGGATTAGTTTTGTTCCTAGACACGTTATAACTTCTGGTATTGAAATTCATTCAGAGTGTGTGTGTGTGTGTGTGTGTGTGTGTGTACGCATGCTAATGGGAATTGAACCCAGGGCTTTTGCACTGAGCTATATCCCTGTCCCTTTTTACTTTTTATTTTGAGATGGGATCTCCCTCAGTTGTCCTGGCTGGGCTTGAATTTGCAGTCCTCCTGCCTCAGCCTCCCAGAGGGCTGAGATTGCAGGTGTGTGCCACCATGTCTGCCTGAAGTATTTTCTCTTTAATTATGTTTTTTTTAATTCTTTGCTGCTGATAATATAAAAAATAAAAACAAATCAAAAGTCAACCAGTCATGAATAGATATTACATAAAAAGGAAGTATGAAGAGATGTACATCACCATAGATGAGCAGAAAATTACAAATCAAGAGTACAAATCAAGAGATGCCATGTTGTACTCAATGGATTAAAATTAAAACATTTGACAATATCCTATACTGAAAAGACTGCATTCACAGAATCTTATACATTCCTAGAGGCAATGTACTTTGGAAAGCAGTTTAACATTTCTAAAGTTACACTTTATGACCCAGTAGTTTTTAGATAATATCTAAGGCAAATTTTTGCACATAAAGAGTCATAACAGCAAAGTTCACAGAAGTAAAACCTGGAACCAACTTAAGTGTCCACCAATAGAAAATCAGTTGATTTATTCACACTATGCAACATTCAGAATGAATGACTATAGCAACATATATATAGCAATGAATATAGCCAATAAAATATTAAGTAAAATAAAGATTATGTGTATCATCTTATCCTTTTTATATAGTTAAAATGACTAAATATTCTTAGGAATATTTGCAGATGCAGTATGAGTGATAGAAAAGGAAAACAACACATGATTCATATGACAGTTATCTTGGGTAACAGGAACAGGGTTTAAAAGGCTACAGAATTGAGCTCTCAAACTAGTAGCCTGTTGGTTTAAATTAACACAAAAGTGTGTTTGGCTTTTCAGGTTTCCTTTTTTCTTTCTTTCTTTTTGATGCTCTAATCTTTAACTTAAAAAAAAAGAGTAGTGGTAATCATGAGTGTTGTTTACTAAATCAGCACCTGCTTCTTGCCCTTATTTTGAGGTAGTACCTTGTACTGGTTCAGACATTGAATTTTGAGCAAAAGTGTTACATCACTAGTGGGTCAGACCAATTAATTGTCAGAACAAGTTCTTCCTCAGCTCTCTTCCTCTGTCGTGGTGGCTGACAACACTAAATGGTCACCTGGAGCCCTAAGAGGCTGATCTGTAGAATCCCCTCCTAGCCTTTAAAATTAGCACACGTCATTCATGAGAAATAAATCTTTGTTGCTTAAATCCACTAAGATTCCAGCATTGTTTTCCTCCAATAGCATAATCTAGATTTTCACAATTGATATGGTTCCCTGTATTTAAAAATCAGGGTATTTTATATGAAAATCTGAATTTTAATTGTGAATATTCAAAATATCTGATTACACTGACCTAAAATTTTTAATGATAGCAGTTGACTAGAGATAACTATGAATATCCTCTTCGCACTAGACTTAGTTTGCTACTGTCTCCTTGATATTTGCAGCCACTAGTAGACAATATATAAATACTCCCGATATATGTATATTGGCTTATTTATTGTTTGGGAATTTTTTTAAATAGCATTTTTAGTTTATAGGTAGGTTCTGTAAAAATACAAAATAAAATAGAAGTTAAGCTACAGTGACAGAGTTGCATAGAACCTATTAATAATTTAGGTATTGAGTTCAGTTTTTCTGAAGATGTCATTGAAAACCCCTAGTCAAAAATAAGTTCCTGTTGGCAAGATATAGGAAGATACTTTGCATTTCTGGGTAAAGCATTTACTTTTGATAGTATTTCTGACTTCTTCAAAAATATTTTCTATACATATCTTATCTGATTCTTACATTAACCCCCTAAGTTAAATACAGCAGATAATTTGCAACTAGTTTGGCAGATTAAGACACTGAAGTGTTGAATAGTTAAGTGACTTGCCTGAGGTTAGTGAGTTGATCTGAAGCAAAGCTGCGACTTTGACTCCCAAGCTTTTAACTCATTTGGGGAACTTTAAATAATGAGCTTGTGTTGCTTCAAAGGTCAAAATGCAGAATTTAAAAGTCCTATTTGAAGGACCCATAATTTCATTTCCCAAGCATTTTATAGAGAATGCTGTTTATAGATCTTATTCAATATAGCATAAATGTGAGTCACATTCTCCAGCTGTCTGCCTTAAGAAGTTAACACTGGCATGGGCAGTTGAAAACAAAACAGAATAATAGAAGTATTATTGTTTAATTTATGCTTTAAAATATTCTCCTAGTTGTTTTATCTGTGTTACTTTTCTCAGGCTATTACCAAAATTAATTTAAGTACCTTGATTTAGAGCCTGGCTAGCCTTTGGGAAATACAGACTTCCATTATTCTGCAAGATGAAAGGGAAAAAAATGCAGAATTAACTAGTGTTGCTAGAAATGAGACTATTTAATTGTATTTCTTATAATGTCTACCTGTGTATTAAATTGCCCCGGGAACTATTAAAACTGAAAAGAAGGGAATCCCATCTGACACTGAACCAGCATTTTGTTTCAGGAGAATAACCAGAACCATAAATCAAACATAAAACACATCAGAGAATCAGAGAATTCAGTTCTCCACCTAGATGGAAATTAGTTAAATCTTTTTTTTTTTTCTGTATTGAGGGTCAAACTTAGCCTCATGTATGCTGGGCAAATGAATCACCACTGAGCTACACCTCTGCACCTTTTTTATTTTACTTTTTATTTTTGGTACCAGGGATCAAATTTCAGACCTTGCACTTGCAAGGCAGGCAGCCCCTTTTTATTTTTTGAGACAATTACCAAGTTGCGCAGGCTGGACTGGAACTTGCAATCCTTCTGCCTCATCCTCCCGAGTAGCTGGGATTATAGGCTTCTACCACTGTGCACATTAGTTGATTGGTTGACTGGTTGACATTAGTTGATCAGTTATCAAACGAAGTTGAAAAAGAAATCCACCTTAGTGTTCTAAGACCTAACTCACACATAAATGGACTTCCTGTGAAGAGCCAGATTAGTTTTTGTTAAATATTAGCAATGAATGGACAGAGAATGGGGCAGAAGAAACTCTAGAGCTATTATCAAAGTTCAATGTCAGTGTTTTATTTTCTAGAGAAACTGATTATTGCTGCTCACACAAAGGAATTTTCCATCTTTCTCTTTTACGTAGATTCATTCGAACCACCACGCCGTCTCCCTGTAAAGAAAACACGACAACAACTTCAGCGAGAAAAAGCCCTACAAGAGCAGAGCCAAAAACTTGGGCTTCAAGATGGCTCAACCTCATTACCTCCAGAGCTAATGCTTTCTGCCCCAAAACCGAGAATCAACACTCAGAAACCGCATTTTTCCCCCACTTGCCCTAGCCCTTTAGCACTCACCTCTCCTGTTGGTGATGGAAAACTAACGGATACTGAAAGTCAACCCAGGGAAGCAGGACTTGAGAATTCTTATGATGGTCCTGAAAACTTTGAGGTGCTTCCTCCAAAGCCAGATTGCAAATTGGAGAAAAAGAAAGTGGAATTGTTAGTAAGTCTAATAAGACTTTTTACTTGTCTTTTTTATCCCTGTTGGACTTTAAGAAAATGGGCTGGTTGGTTGGTTTTAACATTTTCTCTGTTTTATATTCAAGTATAGAAATGTGATCCATAAACTATAGTTCCACCTACATGTAGTATGAGCTGGGCAGTTTTAGACATTTTATAGGTTTTGTATCATTTAGTCTTCACAACAGCCTTACAATATATGTTTTATTATTCTTACTTTATAGATGAGGCAGCTGGAACTCAGAAAAGACATCTTTCTAAAGCTAATACACAGCTAGAAAGTAATAGAGTTGAGATTCACATTTAAGTGTGTCTGCATCTAGAGTCTATGGCCAGTTACACCCACTAGAGCAGTTTTTATAGGCATAGTACCACTCCCCAAATTGAATCTGTTCTTCAGCTTCCAGCTGACATCTTCATTGGCCCAGAAAAGGATATTTATGAAGAAACATGACAGGGTAGTCAAAAGAGAGAGTGTTGCGAATTAAAGGGACTAATTATACAATTCAGTTGCATCACTAAATCTTCCTTTCTTCCTTCCAGTTGCATCACTAGGTCTGCCTTTCTCCCTTCCTGTACTAGGAATTGAACCCAGGGCCTTCATACTGAGCTACATCTTCAACCCTTTTTAAATTTTGAAACAAGTTCTCAAGTTGCCCAACCATCATACCCAGCTTGTTTAATGTGTTTATATTCAGAAAAAAACAGAATCATTTAGCCACATTCATGTGAAAAATGCCATTCTGTAATTCATGAATCCTTGGAATAGTATTTGGGGAGAAGAGATGGCATTTCTGTTTTGTTTTTACTTTTCTGTGTTTTCTTTTCTAATCTCAGATAGTATTTCTAATCTCTGGTGATCTGGATTCTGTACTGTGAGTTTAAAATGTTTCCTGCCCACCAGGGGTTTGTGACTAAATTCATTTTGACAAGAATTACAGTCCTCCTTGAATTATGAAACCAACATTGGAAGAGTACGTATATTTATATATCTTTAAGTGGAGTTTACTAGTCAGGCCTGAGACCAGTAGAGGCTGAGTTGAAATTGAGATGAGTTGGACAATTTAGAGAAATTGTCTATCATTAGAGAAATTCCTTTTTTAAGTACTTGGGAGAATATTCATAGAAGACAGTCTGAGGCGCCATTGATAAAAAGGAGATATTCTGAGGTTGTCAGCGGGAAAAAGGAAAGCTATATTCTGCAGAACGTTCTCAGGTAACATCTGATTTCTCTGGGAGAGGCAAAGGGGACACAGAATGGTAGGAAGTAAAGAAGTAGGGAAGTTAAGGGGTGGGGATTTAGCTCAGTGGTTCCAGCACCTGCCAAGCAAGTTCACGGTCCTGAGTTCAATCCCCGGTACCAAAAAAAAAAAAAAAAAACAGAAGTAAGGAAGTGAATTCTAGTGAGTTTACTGACAGCCTGATGCAAAGGCCTCAACAAGAAATGAGCAAGCAGTGGCTCGAGAAATGCCAGGTGTCAGTATTGCTAACCATTTGGGAGGGAGGTCATTGAGATGACCAATGCTGATGCCAAAGTGGAAGCTGTAGTAATGGAGAGGAGAGGACAGTTTTGGAAGTGGTTGCTAGTTTTGCAAATAGAGACTTGAAATCTTGGCTGTGAGAAATGCCAGTAATAAGAATAAACAGTTTTTGCTCTTAAGTTGACATCAAATCCATGACTTTACGGGAAATTTTAATATGTTTCTTTCAAGATTAGAAGACAATACATGTTTAAGATCTTTGAAGTTTTCTTTAGCCCAGTTCCATTTGACTTTAGCTCATTGTTTGAGAGATGGAAAAATGTCAACAAATGGAAAAAATATACAGTATATGGAGTAAACATTGGTCATTGTCTTGAGGATGGTAAAGTGATGGGGACTTTTCGTTACAGAAAATTCTTAGGAGGAGCTGAGCATGGTGGCATATGCCTATAACTCAGCACTCAGGAGGCTGAGCAGGAGGATTGTGAGTTTCAGGCAGCCATGGCTACACAGTGACTTCAAGGCCAGCCTGGACTACATAGAGGAGCCTCTCTCAAAAAAAACTGAAAAATTAAAATAAAAAAGAAGCCAAACCTCTTTAAGAGATACAACATCAGCTACAGACCAATTTATTTTAACCTCCATTTCGCATAAAATGTATAATTAGCAAACACACTTTTCTTCATAAACTTAAAAAATGCCATAGTACTCTGGCTTCCGGTTTGTGGGTTCCTAGGTTATATACATATAATGGATTTCCAAGGTTTATATAAGCCTTTTTGCTTCAGATGATAGTGTGTTCCTATTAGAACAGAATAATGAGCTGCAGATGGTTTCTCTTAAGAAGACTTTTGGGCCAGGGATTTAGCTTAGTGGTTCTGGTGCCTGCCTTGCAAGCACAAGGTCCCGAGTTCAATTCCCGATACCAAAAAAAAAAAAAAAGACTTTTGAAAGAAAATATATGTAATTTGCCTGATTAGACTTTATACATTGAAGACTGAGATTTATAAGGTGTGAGATATGATAGTCTCTTTTGTAAATTCATTTGTATAACTTTTTTCCTCCCTAGGCAAGAAAAATCTCGTTGGGAAGTCCTTCAACAAGAACAACGACTAATGGAAGAGAAAAATAAACTTAAGAAAGCTCTTTTGGCAAAAGCTATTGCAGAAAGGTAAGGCACCTGAACCAGGAGAGGTTGTTTGTAACTTGCAGTCAGTTCTGTCATGTTTTATATGTATTTTCCCATGACTGTCCTAATAAACTGATATTTTCTTTATAGTTGTTACTTGGAAGGCTAACTAAACAAACTGCTTCATAAGTGATACTGAAATTCTAGTTTTAATTTATTAAGGAGGACTTTTAAAGTATAAATCGTAATGAACTTATAAGCACAGCTCCAGTTAAAACTTGAGGACCAGAATCAGTGTTTTCAGTTGTAACCATCTTCCCTTTCATAAGGGAAGCAGGAATTAACTATCAGTATATGTAAGTGAGCAGATATGTAAGTGATACAGATTTTTAATTTTAATATGGAAAAACCTTAAATGATTTGACTTGTAAAGGAGTTACTCTATGCAAGTGACTTACACTACCTCAGATCTTAATTGAGTTTCTTGTGAACATTTTTCTTAAACTTATCCTGTGCCCACTAATACAGCATGTAATGTCATTTAACCTTGTGTGGATGACTCAGGCTCTTATTAGCCCTGTATGAGGTATGGTATTCCTTGAACCTCCCAGTGTTACTTTGTCAGTTATCCCTTCGCAAGTCAGTAAAGCAATGACTGAGAAGAGTGTGAGCTGACTGCAAGTATTTGCTGACATTTTCTTTAGAAAAGTCTAGCAAAATCATTATTGGCTGAGGCTGGAGTATATGTAGAGGCAGGGGAAGATGTAAGAGGAAGGTAGGTAGGTATAAGAGCAATCAGAATTTTAACTGTCAGAGGGATGTGTGTATTTGAAATGATTTTTTCCCTCTGCTGGTGCACCTTGATCTTCCAGGAGTGTAAGAGATATGCAGCTTACCATGTTTCAAAAAAAATGAACACATGTAAAAAAGTAGTGCCCTCTTTTATTTTTTCCCCCCGCATCTGATTACTTTTGAAGTTTTATTAGTTTTCAGTTTAGATGAAGTATGAATGCCAGTTACCAGGGATTTTACAAAAACAGTTTACAAGTTCAGCACATCTTAGTGCTAGTGGTTTAAGACAGAAAGGATTGATACAGAAATGTTAGGAAATGCAACATAATTGGGTTATTAAATGAATAATGAATGCTTGTCTTACTGGTAAGTGAACTTTTGTAGGCAGAAATGAAGAACCAGTGCATGATGCAGTTGAAATGAGAATGTAAGTTGCAGAATTGTGGTTTCATGTAGTTTTTTTTTTCCTGTGCTCGAAAGTGTGAAATTTTGAAATGAGTAAAATCATGATTAAAGGTTTGTTTTGTGGGGTTTTTTGTTTCTTAAGTATGTATTGTATTTACTTCAGGACAGGTTCTGAGGGGAGTGAAAGATGAAGTTGGATATGTTTTTAAACTAGGAGAAAAAAAGGATGTTTTGATTTTGAGCCCCACAAATAGTTTTGAGGGCTTGGAGATTTGACAACAGAACAAGAATCAAAGCAATAAAGGTATGGTGAAACAGGTCCTAAGAAAGCTTAAAAATAAGCCAGGCATGGTGATGCACACCTGTAGTCCCAGTGCTCTGGGAGGCTGAGGCAGGAGGATCACAAGGTCAAGCCCAGCCCGGGCTGCTGAGTGACTTTACTGAGACCCTTCCTCAAAATACAAAATTTTAAAAAGGATTAAAGTCCACCTTGTTACATTGTTATGAAATTAATAGGTACTAATAGAAAACTTGGGAAACTACAGGAAAAAACTAAAGTGTATTTTAGAGATTTACCAAAATGTTATTAGCATGTATTTTATTTCAACTCTGATTTTTTCTAATTTTTAAAAAATCGTGTGCTACAATTATATAGATATTCTTATTACAGATATATCTATCTGTATATGGAGATATATAATATGTATCTTGCTTTTTTGCATATCATGTGTAAATACATACTTTTCAAATGTATCTTCTGTGCTTTTTTTCCTCTATTCATGTTCCTGATTTTCTAGATCTAAAAGAACTCAAGCAGAGACTATAAAACTAAAACGGATCCAGAAGGAGTTACAGACTTTAGATGACATGGTTTCAGCTGACATTGGAATCCTCAGGAACCGGATTGATCAGGCCAGCCTAGACTATTCATATGCACGGTGAGTTGGGGAAATTGAACCTTGAACAAGGAATCTAATGTAATTAATGTTTGTTACTAGGTAGGCCAGTGGCTGTTGTGCGTTCATCCTTTAAGTCTCATAGCAGCCCCATTAACTACTGTATTTATTCCTCTCATGCCAATTCCTGCATCTTCTTTTCTGTGAAGTCTCCCTTAAGTCTGCTTTGTCAGTTAGAGTTAACTAGAGTTAACTCCGTTAGAACATTTTCCTGTATTATTTATTGACATTTTAGTCTTTCTGGGTAAACTCTCAGCTGTTTAATGTTTGGAACCCATATTAATATTTCAAGATCTAGTAAAGTAAATGTCTGAATGACTTGTCCCAAAACTGTATTCTTCTAACACCAAGTCAGTTGTCTTTCCATTAAAACTTTTAATTACTCAATATGGTCTCTATGGAATTGGAGCCTAGTTCTCACTTTAATTTTCATCAAAATAAGAAGATCTAGTTATTTTTTAAAGTTTATGAGTATTTTAAAGAAAATACCATTCTAAAGAATATTGAAGCTTTTTCTCTTATTTTTTTCTTTATGATTTTACTGTGTACAGAATGGTTTGATATGTGTTTCTGGTTTTTAACCATTGACATTTTTTACAAAGAAAAAATCTTTTGGGAACATTTTAAAAATGAACTAACACATGTAAAGAATTACATGGACCTTGCGAACAGATAAAAGGGCAAAAAGAATGTCCAATTTCAAGGTTTTCAGTCCCTTCTACATTGCTTTAATCATCCCAGTTTGTCTCTTTTCACAAGGGAATGCTATGTTAATGACTCAGTCTTGCATTTCTCTGTAACACTAGAAATCAAACAGAATGCCTCATTAGTCCAGGGTAAACCACAACATTAGAATGTTTATATAACAATTTAATAAAGTGGAAATGCTTGATTATGGTTTTTAATTTACTGTTTAGTGCTTAAGAAAGAGGTTTGTGGTTGTCCTTGTGATACTTGTAATTGTTGTTTGACCATATGCTATTGGATGTAATGTAATGGGGCTGCCTTTATTAATTAAATTTAAATTAATGCCATCAGTAGCTGATAACTAGAGACTCCGGATTTCTATTAATAAGATTGTTAAGGGGGTAACCAAGATTTTATTAGGATTAAAACTAAAGCCTTGATTTTCAGCACTTTATTCTCTTTAACGTGAGTTTGGCAAAAGATCATTTTTATGCTTTACATTTCTATGAATTATCCATATTATCAGGTACAATCCAGGTATCATAATGGAAAAATATTCTTGATTGTTCTAATTCTGTCCCAGTGGGAACTGGAGAAGGGTGCCTTTATGTGTTGAATGTGATATAAGATGTGCCAGTTTTAGCCCTCAGAGACAACCAGAAAGAGGGTGGAACTACCAGATAAAGAAGAGAACATCCTACAATATATATTCTTTTTTTTTGGTACCGGGCATCCAACTCAGGTCCTTTCGCCTGCAGAACCACTGAGCTGAATCCCTGGCCCAATATAATATATATTCTTAATGCAATTTTAGTAAATTCTTATGTAATAAAAATATTTTACATAGTATAGTTTTATATCTTTATCAACTAAAGATGTTAGTTTCTCATTACTATTGACATGCAAATGATGCTGGTTGACTATTTAAAAAATTAAGCCTTGTATAAATCAAAGAGAAGCTTAGCTAGTTGTTATTAGAATCAGGATTGTTGACTTGTACATGCATAAGGTTAAGACAACATTTTCTAAATTTGCATTTGTGGTTATTGAAAAATTATAGATTGATTATATAGTATTATGTTCCACGTTTCTCCTAGAAGATAATCTCAGGGTAGTCAGTTTCTATAAGAGATTCCCTTGATTTTTTAAAAAATAAAAATACTATCTTAGTTTTGTAGTCCTGTGTCTGTAAAAGGCTCTTGGATGGTGAATAGGTCAGAATCCACTTTGAACTTGGCTCGTGTAGAGCAACCTTAGGACAGTTACCTCTGAGGAGACCAGCACTTGGAGCTTGCCAACTTGGGGGCCACCGCAACTGCCACAACTATGAGTGCAGTGTTGCTGTGTGCTGTCTGTACAGTTCAATGAGAGTGGTTGTTTAGTTTGTATACTGGGAAAAATAATCATTCCTGTTTATTGTGTGGACTTAATAGACACCCCCTACACACACATACATACATGTGTACAAATATTTTTAATCACTTTATGAATAATATACTAAAGAGGATCATGGAAAACAACTTTTATGGGCATGAAAACATAATTGAAGTCTTTGTATCAAAATATTTGGTTCACAAACAGAAAGGTGGGAGAATGAGCCATATCCTTTTAGCAGTACAGGACAGACACTTATATTGACTAAGTTCTGCCTGGTGAATTATTAATTGCATGAGAATGTCATGTTTCCTTTTTTGTCCTTAGAAATAAATTTTTCACTTATTGATTCCTCGGTTTCAGGAAATTCATCTAGGATGGGTTTTTCTGAAGACTCAGATTCTGCGATTTAACTTACTGATCAGTTTCACCACCTAAATACTAAAGAATATGTCTCTGCATTTATGTTAGTTTCTTAGAAATTACCACAAACTGTACTGCTTAAAACATCAGAAACTTCTTTCACACATCCAAAGTTATAGTGTCTGCAGGGGCATGCTTTCTCAAACACTAGGGTTCTGTTCCTTGCCTTCAACTTCCGGGGGCATTAGGTGCTCCTTGACCTGGGGTGGTACTCCATTCTGTACCTCCATGGTCACATTGCTTCCTCTTCTTCATTGCTTCCCCTGCCTTCTCTCTTCAGAGGGTGCGTGTGATTGTACTTAAGCCTCAACTGGTTAATTCACAGTACTCTTCTCAAATCATTTAATTGCATCATTTCTCCTATAAGATCATTTTTACATACAGTAATATTTAAAAGTTCCATGGATTACTAGGTGAATGATTTATTTAACCATGGTAAAACATCTTTCTCTGTCACTTTTGTCTACTTTGCCAATAAGAAAATGAAAAAATAATTCTCAACTGTATTCAGTGAAAATTAAGAATAGCTGGGTGTGGTGGTACCTGCCCGTAATTCCACCTCCTCAGGAGGCTGAGGCAGGAGGATTACAAATTTAAGGCCAGCCTAGGCAACTTAGTAAAATCCTGTCTCAAAATCCCCAGTATCAAAAAGCCAAACCAAACAAACAAACAAAAACCCTAAGAACAGTTTATACTGATGGTATTTCTAGCCTTTTATACCATCTTGTGGTGACATAGTATTTTGAAAACAGGAAACTAAATAGTGACAGTTTATTTCATTATTGCATCATCTTTTTAGATCATTCCATCATTCTCTGTTTTCTATTTGGTTTAATTTTTGACATAAATGGAAATAATTGATAAGTAATGATGAAATAATACCTAGGATGATGAGATGGAAAAATGTTTTACCGTATAGGAAAAATATTTCTATAATCCTATATCTTAGATCTATAAAAGGGTCCTTTAGACCCATATAGTAACTGCAAAATATAATTCACTTTAATTTATAAAAAAATAAGTAAATTTTCTTCATTCTTTAAAAGACCTCTGACCAAGGGACAGAAGGAAGGAAGAGTGGGGAAGGGCACATAAAAAGAATTACAATGTGTTGTGTACATGTGCCACCTTGTGATGACTGTAATTACATACTGCAAACAAGTGCTAATAAAAATAAAAAATTTTTAAATAAATTTAAAAACATAAAAGACTTCTAAGAAAGGATAAAAATTGTATGCTAATCTGTACAGGTAGTTAAAACTGCTCAGAAATGAACTGAAAAACTAAAAGTGAATCAGTGGAACCCAATGCTATACCAAACAGTAATGATTAAGTTTTTTAAAAACAAATCTCAGGAAGCTGTGGCACACACCCGTAATCGCAGCTACTTGGTAAGACCAGGCAGATCTCAAGTTCAAGGCCAGACTGCGTAACTTAGCCAGACCCTCTCTCAAAGTAAGAAGGGCTGAGAATGTAGCAGTGCAAGGCCTAGTACCACCAAAATAAAGGCAAAGATGCCAAGAGGCAGTTTCTAGAATCCCTTAAATAACATTTATTAAATCATTTTATGTATTTTTAAAATAGCAAAACCATTCTATAATTACACTTTGAGTTCAATGTGTTTTACTGTGTTATGTATAATGCTCTCATTATTCTGTTCCAGAGTATGTCATCATGCTCTAATTTGGTGTTATCCAGCTGATCCCCACACTAGAGATGGAGCTTGGGAAACTAATCAGTATTTTAAACATAAGTTACTCTGTATGAGAAATATGTATGTATTTTTCTGGACAGAAGGAGATTAAATAAACGCAAAATCTTCAGTGATTTATCTAGAGCAAAATACCAGTGGATATCTAGGGACTCTTTTGGAAATGTTAATTTCAGTTCAGTATTCATGAGCCTGGTCTGTAAATCTCTACTGGCTTTGACTGCCTCAGGGTAATCTAGACTTGCAGAGAAGGGAGGTTTGAGTAAGGGAAGGGGCAGAGTATTGATTTAACTACAGAGAAGGTTGTCAAGACCCTAAACTGATGCAAGAACATTCATTAGCAGGACTATTATAAAATGTGGCGATAAGGGCCCCAGATATCCAACAGAATTCCTTTGGAGCACTTCTTAGTTCATATACCAACTCCCCATGATGAATGTAATTATGTACTGCAAAAATGTAGTAATAAAAATAAAATTTTTAAAAACTCAACAATGCCTTAATATAAAATAAGAGATACAGGTTTTTGCTGGACATGTTGATGCGTGCCTCACTAAGCTGAGAGAGAATGATCTCAGGTTCAATGGCAAGGGAGAGACGTACAGATTTTCTACTTTCTCCCTTTTTTGTTGTTTTACCTCATAAATTTAACTAGTTATATGCTGGAGCTAGCTTACACAAATTCATGAGAGCAGATTTTATGCATCTCTTCCCACTCTTCCATTTCGTGATGTCACATTGATAACTCAGAATTGTCCAGAGTAGTAATATTTTTACCACAGAAACTGGCAAACACAAGAGATTAGAGCTCTCCATCCCCCATCCCAACCCTAAAGCTGGCACATCACTAAATTAACACTCTTAGCCTGCCTTCACTCAAGCATAGCTTTGGAAAGAAATTAGTATAGAAAAATGGTGATGAAACTATGCCGCATATGCCATAGCAGGTTGTTTGTATCATTGAAAGCTCTAAAAGGTTCGCCCTCCCTGGTATAGAAGAATGTTTTTATACCAGGTGAATCCAAATAAGGATGTTTGAAAGTTTCAGCATTGGTAGCCTGATTTATCTAACATGCAGTCAGGTGTTTGTAAGGTATTAATATCCTTGCTTTTGTTGTACATTTCTGTGCCAATATTAGAGCTTAATTATTGTTTCTAGACCTTGTTTTAGTATTGGAAAATTAATGGATCAATCTCTGTACCTGTTCTGATAGGAAGCGGTTTGACAGGGCTGAAACTGAGTACGTTACTGCAAAGCTAGATCTTCAGCGCAAGACTGAGATAAAAGAGCAACTCACTGAACACCTTTGTACAATCATACAGCAGAATGAGCTCCGAAAGGCCAAGAAGTTGGAGGAGTTGATGCAACAGCTAGATGTACAGCCTGACATGGAGTCATTGGAACTTGAAGTGGAGGTGGAACGATTACTTCATGAACAGGAATCAGAATCAAGGAAGCAAATGGTTCCTATAGAAAGGCCATGTCAGCCTGCTCCAGAGATTGTGACTTCAGGGCTTGCTAAAAAGAACAAAAAGCCTCAAGAACAAGCTGTTTCCCCAAAGGTAGATGAACAGTGTGCAAATTCCAGTAGTATGTCCCATCCTAATCCAGACTACACAAATCAAGGAGTTAATGACATTTCAGCTGCTCTCGCCTCATGAAGTGTCAATGTTCTTTTCAACTAATATGATACCCAGTACAGTAGATTGTGCCCTGACTGCTGATAAAATCCTTGTAAAAACTGTTAATTTTTGGATCCATAATTAGTATGTTGACATGTTTGACCATTCTAATTATAATTTTATATCTATGTGACATTGCACCTTGATTTTGGTCCAGTTCTTTCAGTGTTCCTTTAACTGCTATTATTGGGCTAAAATAAATGACAAAATGATGGAAGAGCCTGAAGCCTTGTTCAGTTCTAAAACTCACCAAAAGAAAAAATGGAAGGACACTAAATTGTTTGAGTGGTTTTAGACCAGGTACATAAAGAAAACTACATTGAAGCAGGATGTGGTGACACACACCTGTAATGCCAGCACTTCGAAGACTGAGGCAGGAAGATTGTTCAAGCCAGCCTAGGCCTCATAGCCTGATAGTTTCTCCAAAAAAAAAGGAAGAAAAATGATACACACTACCTCGTCAAACCATTAACTTCCCCTGGGAGAAGTGTTGAGAATGGAAGTCCTATGTATTTTATGTAATCAGTAAAAAAGGCATAAAAATCACATGTGAAAAAGAGCTGGGTGTGATAGTAATCCCTGCACTTGGGAGGATCTCAAGTCTGAGTCCTACCTGGGCAATTTAGTGAGATCCCATCTCAAAATAAAAAATAAAAAGGGCTGGGGATGTAATTCAGTGCAAAGGCTTTGGGTTTAATCCCCACGGTACAGGAAAAAAAAAAGAAGAAAGAAAATTATCTCTGCATCTTTGCAGCCACACTTGCAAAACACAGCTTGAAAATTATACTTTACATAAAGAACAGAATAATTTAATCCCACATTATTTTTGTCCTTTTGTCTTTAATTTGTCTTTAAATGGTTTTATTCATAATCTGATTTTTCATTAGTTGCTATATACACATGTGTGTATAGACATAGTATATATATATGTGACTTTTAATCTCTTTAATCAATGAATTGATTAAATTTAGACAATAAAAACTTTTAGAATAATATAGAAAGTTATTGCTTTTTTGATATCTTTCTAAAGTTATGTGTAATATATGTTTTATATGTTGGGCATAAATTATCTTGTCATTAAGCAATTTAAATTGTTAAAATGACTTATTACTTTCATAGATGATAATTACCTGTTACTAATACTTGACCACTACATTGTTCTCTATGTGATTGTGTATATAAATATTATAGTTTTGTCATAAAAATCTGTGAATATATATTAAATTATAGTCTATCAGAAACTTGCATTAAAGGAACTATTATAAAAGAAGGTAACGACAAGTGTAACATTATGTCCATTATGTTTCTTAAAACGTTAGGGACATCCTGTTTTAAATGAGTTTGTTTGAAAGTATTCTAGTAACACACATGAGCTTTGTACTTTTATGTAGTTTGAATTGAATGTATAATTTTCCATTACTGAATTCTCTAAACAGAATCAACTTATGTAGATGTATTTTTATTTATGAATAATGTACATAAAAATGGAAAGCTTCATTCCCTAAGACACTTATTTTTCTAAGGAATAAACAAGTGTGATATATTTATTGTCTTTCATTTACCTTAAAAACAAAAAGTTGCAAATAGTTTAATATGTCTTCTTATGCAATATGTATCAGTAATACATCCCAAGATCTTAGGATAAATACTTTTGTATGAGCCTGTTAAAGAGAATTTACTAATAAGTGAGGTTCTGTAATACTGCTTAAATACAATACCTGCAATCTTCATATTCAGTTTAAGTACTTAAGAGCTGTTTGGAGAAGTAAGAATCATGAAAGAAATGAATTGGACATGACCTCAGAGATCATCTCATGTAATCATTTCATTTTTAACAAATTTCAGAGCCAGAAATTTTAGCAGCTCATTCTAAAGATAAAGCACTAATAAAAGTTACAGTCCTGTACTCCTAGTATATCTCCTATACACTTCAAGTTAGGGTGTTTGCTGCAGCCTTTGTGATTGACAGTCCTGCTTTATAACCCATACAGGGATTTTATATGTGTGTTAAGTACTTTCATATATGGTTACAAAAGGTCCACTGAAACCATTATTTAGAAAATATCTTGCTGAGCTTTCCTAGGGTGGTATCTGAGTGCTCAGGTGATGATATAAGTGACAAAATTATATTGCATCAGTCTTCTGCAAAGGCAGCTGTGTAGCATGTGTGGGAAACACAAGAGCAAATGAATGAGAGATGGCTCATTGATACATGAGGACCATATGCACTAGGTTTTCGCCCTGTTAGCTTTTAAAATATGTCTGAAAGGCTTTGATATATAAGTTCACAATTACCCAGCAACTGTTAATTTCTCTGAAGGAAATCATTGGTTTCCTTCTGTTGCTGCTAGAAGTTTATTGGAACACTTGGTAGAGCTGTTCCTTTGGTGTTGTCTTAGTTACTTTCTCGTTGCTGGGACAAAATACCCAATATCCACAACTTAAAGGAAGAAAGACTTATTTTGGCTCACAGTTGTAGAAGTTTCAGTCCATAGTCAACTGGCAGCATGCAGAGGAGAAATGGTTCATGGCATGGCAGGCAGACAGCAGCAGTGAGCCTGGCTTTCTGTCCCTTTATATTCCATCCCAGCCTCCCACTGATTGGCACCTCTCACACCCAGGGTGGTGTTGCCATTATCCATACCCAGAACTAAGCAAATTTACTCATCATATATCATTAATCATGGTATCACCTACAATCCAATTACCTCCTAAAAGGCCCACCTATGAGCACATGAGGCTTTCAGGAGGCATCTAGATTCAAGCCGTAACACGTGTTACATTTCTCTCTTCCACTTCTTAGCTAGCTAAAGTGGAAGGTACACTGTTTTTAATTTTTATTATTGGGGGAAGTTGAGACAGTCTTACTATGTAGTTCAGACTGACCTTGAACTCACCACATATTCCAGACAGTCCTTGAATCTGAGGCAGTCCTCTTGCTTCAGTCTCCGGAGTGCTAGGATTACAAGCATGTGCCACCACACCCAGCAAGAAAAGGTACATTTTAATGATGTGTTAAGTGTTAAGATGTGTTATTTTAGGGAACAAATACTTTGCGTTATTTAACTTGTTCTATTTTAATAAAAAGTAATCTTTACCAAATTGCATAACTTTAACTTACTATCTTAAAGCATACTTTTATTTGGTTAAATTTGAATTCTTGACTAAGAGTTGTTAAGGTTTGATTCCCTGTTACTTTTTACAGATTAGAGTCATTTTATATGTGTTCAGAGGAGAATTTCTTAAAGCACAGTTCTGATTGCATTAAAATATCTTGAGGGGTTTTTTTAGTTAGATTTTTCACCTCTCCATAATTCTGCTGAATTACAGCACTTGCAGGTGGTTAATCTGTACTCATAAGAGCACAGCTGATTTCCTAGTTAGATGATAAAAATATCTGGTTGGAATTCCATATTTCATGGCTGGATTGGCATTTGAATTGTGAAGTAAAAACTTAGCTATAAACCTCACTCTTTCTTTATTTGGATTTAGCAACATAGTACTCTCAAGAAGCCAATCTAAGTATTCAGCCACTTACTCTTTGTGGCATTGGCACAAAACAGACTCACATTATTCTGACCCAGGCCATTCTCCGTGACCTTCAGAAATGATGTTTTGGGTTTTGTACTGTATTTCTAAAGAGCTAAGGCAGCATTTTAAAAGGCCCTTATAGATAGACAAGACCTGGGGTCACTCTGGACCTAGGTAATTATACCTCTTGTCAGCATAGATCTACCTCAGGCCTGACTTGCTATCTGGAGGGATGAAGCAGATCACTGTTCTCTAGTCTGCCTTTACCTTAACGTTTGACTACGTTTGCAAGCTCCTAATCCCAAGCAGCTGTCTTTAAAATGCAATGTTACATACTTGTGCAATTTGATGAAACTCTACCTACTCATATGGACAACACTATTTAAGAGGTATATGATCTTTTCCTTTTGTCCTTAAGCTTATAGTCTAATTGAGGAAGCTGATTTATACTAAAAAAGGCTAATACCTAACATGTTTAGTAATGGGAAGCAAAATAAATGGCTGGAACACTGAACATGGGTAATTCTCTAGAAGTCCCAAAGTTTTAAATCACTCAAAATTGTAAATATTCTATCTAGTTGTTTGACAATTTATGAATGTCTTGGAAGGATCTGCCATAATAGTTCACTTTTTTCCCTAGGGAACAACATATATATTACCAAAATAAAACAAAAACACCCATTTTAGACTATGGGCAGAATTTGAGTTTTAAAAGTAGCTGAGCATGGTGATTCACACTTGTAATCCCAGCAATCAGGACGCTGAAGCAGGAGGATTGTGAGTTCGATGCTGGCCTGGGCCACATAGGAAGACCCTTCCCAAAATAAACGAATAAAACAACAGTCACCAGAGCAAGAGTGAATTGGGAAGAAGGGAGATTTTTGCGTGTCGTATATTTAAAATAGGGAACTCAAAGAACTTACCAGTGCAGAACCTCATCAAGTATTGGGTAAAATAAGGATATATCATTCTGTCAGTTGGGGGTTTTTTTGTTTGTTTTTTTTTCAGTACTGGGGCTTAAACCCATGGCTGTCAGACTGAGCTGAATTCCCAGCCCTTTTAAAATTTTTATTTTTCAAAGACAGGGTCTGGCTAAGTCACTAACTTTCCACTCTTTCCACTCCTACACTCCTACCTCAGCCTGCCGGAGTGCCTGGGATTACAGGTGTGCACCACTGCACCTGGCCAGTATCTTCTTACAGTATATACAGAAGAGCATATATGTAAGAGCTCATTATAGGTGTTCAATGTGTTGTTAAACTGGAGGCAATAATTACTGTCTTAAGCCAGAACAATATGCAAATAGAATAATTTGACTTTAAGGATTACTCAACTTGAAGGCTTGTTCAAAAATCACTCATCAGAGAGATTTTTTCAAGTCAAAGTAGGGTCCTGGAATAGAAACATAATTAAGCAACAAGACATGACAGGAATAACATTCTTTGGTTATTGCATGCCAGAGGTTCATACAAGGCATGAAATAATGACCCTGAAAGGTATAGTGTCACTGCTGGTACAGGAAGAGGAATTATTGAATTTGGGAGAGTTATTTCATGAACTGCTATTTCAGTTGTTGGGTAATACTGTCATGTGTATAGTAAATGTGGCCATGACTTGTATCCAGCATTCTGAAACTATATTTACTCCAGAGCTTTCACTTAATTAAAACCTCCACAGAATTAGCGATCTCCTCCTTTACTTAGCCAAGCAAAAACCAAGCAATTCAGACACAAATTTGCAAACCCATAGTCATATATAGAGAACTATAGTCTGGTAGAATTATGATTAATTACTTAGACCTATATTTTATAACTGAAAAATAACTGAAACAACCACGAGAGCTATTGACCAACTATACCTCACACTAGAATGGAGACAGACCTTTAACCAAAATGAGAGGTGAGATACTCAGTAGTTACTAGGTTAAGAGAGAAATACCCAAATTGAAAGAGACCAGAAAAGCCTTGTTGATGGAAATGGGTAACTTATTGCTAGAATCCTCTCCACATTTCTGAGTTACTACTTCAGAAGATAGTTAGAAATCTGTATGAAACTCAAGGCAAGGTGTTCCATGGTCCTTAATATTTCTCATGGAACAGGATGAGGCAGTGTCCTGGATGGACATCTGGGCAAACAGCGGCTTCCTTTAGCCCAGTCCCTCTTCCAGGTACCTAGTGATCTGCTCTTGGGAAAAGATGTGAAGACAGTGTGGGAAATTCAAACTTCCCCTCTGAAGCTTTGATAATCTTAGTCTAGGAAATAAGCTGACAATAGACAGGTTTACAGGAAAAAAAAAAAAGACACACATGAACATACAGAAACTGAGGTCTAACCAGCCACTCCCTCTCCAGTTGCCAGAATGGCTGTTTCCACCTGCCTGATCCCAGGAAATAATGCCTACTCTTCTAGGAGTCACACACCCGCAACAGAACATTAGCTATTGCTATGGCCACATACTCAGCTATCGTCACCTCACTGAGCCTGTTTCCCTCCTCAACCCTATCCATCCCCCTGCCCAGTAAACAACTTAGATGCTCAGGCTGGCTGTATTCTTTTACTGAGTCACCACCATTTACCTAACAGAAACACAGGAGACAAAGTATAACACTTAAATTAGAGGTTAGATAGTTGAAACTCAAATGCTGCTCCAAAAGAAAAGCAAAGTGGGGATACAGGCAATTTTAGAGGAATAATAAATTATGTTTAGGGCAGATGAGCGGGCCCAGCAGAACAGAATGGGGAAAAGTTCTGGGTTGTGGATGTTTGCCGTTCAGTTTTCCTCCTGTGTTATGAATTTAATCTTCTATAACTAATGAAATTTCAGTAAGAAGATGGAAGGCAACTGTGTTCCTCTTTTTATTGATATGGTAAGGTAGATAAGGAAATTTTGCAGAAAGCCTGTCCCTGGGCTGGGGTACTGAGCACAAGGGAAGGTCAGAGTATTATAGACAGCTAAGGTAGAAATATTATAAGCAGTCATACAGGGCTAGGCCATTGAGGGAGTCAGTGCAG